CGGCCATTTGCCAGATATATCTATTTTTTACGTTTGATTGCAGTGTATTAACTTTAAATTAAAATATAAATAACACTTAGCTTAAAATAAATTATGACTTTTATCTCACAATCAAAATGTGCGTTCTTATTGGGACACCCTTTATCTTCCTTACTGGACAAAAACTTTATAAAAGAATTTATTAATATGAATTTGCTACATGGTTTAATACAAACTGACGCACAATTTAGGTGTGATATAATAAGGCCATTATCCCTTGAGAGAGTTATAAAATATAATTTTTCCTAACTCCAAATAAACTAAGTTACTTGATTCGATTTACAACGGACACATCCGAGCCTGAACTTCAGTGCGTCTTCTTCGGATTCAAGATTCTAGGATGGCCTTACCTTCCATCCATAATCTAATTCCCTAATTTTAATGTCTTGCATCGGTTCAAATGGACCAAAAGGTTTCTCCGTGAAGTGGAATAAAACATATAGTTTCATGTAAATTTAAATTTAATATGGAGAACTAGTTAGGTCTGACAACAAATTAAATTAAATTCGTGTCTCGCTAAAAATTAGAACAAAAAAAAAATTGAAAGCTGCTCCGAAGTAGGTAGATATTCTGGATGGCATTCATACGACGTAACAGAAAATATAAAATCCAGATTCAAGATAACTATAATAATTATTTTAACACGAATTTATTGCGACTAAACAATATGAGAGATTTTGATTTTCAAAGAGAAAGTTAGCAGATTTAAAAGTTATCGGTGACATGATTTCATGTTTGTATGTATATACTATTCTCGACCAGGTGAGTGGTAACGAAAAATGGACTTTCTCTGAAAACCATATATGATGAAGCCGGAGAGATGATCGGAAATAGGTACTTAATGGATTTTTGACAACATTATTTGCTAATAAGGAAAGGACTTTCATTATGACTTTTACCAAAGATCGGTATTAAGCAACTATTGTGGTATTTTTTTAGTTTTCTGATGTTTTATAAAAAATATTTTATTTACATAGCCTAACGTGAGAATTTAGCAAGTCTTAACATTGATTACCTGGAATGTCTCAATATCTTCGAGTGTTTGACATGACAAAATATATTATAATGCAAGAGGCTATGTATTGTTTGTGTGTAACTTTAACTTTGAAACCTAAAAAATCGCTAGAAATTTTTAGCCTCATAAATCTTCGACTCTACTTTGTAATCCGATGAAATTTTTGCACACACGTGTTCAATACAGGGTGTATCAGGTATGAGTACAAATATTTTAACATGTGATAATATGGCCCATATCAAGCTAAAACTGTCTTATTAACCATGAGTCAATTGTTGGTATTTTCGGAGTTGTCGCAGAATTTAAATTTAGAAAAATGTTAACAACGTGACAACATCGTACAGGTATTATCTCTGCCAGGATATAAATGTAATAGTAAATTTAAAGGATTTTTTTTTGCAAGGAGTATATTTATTTCCATCTGTTTACGTTTTGGTTTGTCAAATTATCCGAATAATAACATTTTTAACACTTTTCATAATACTTACTCAGCTACTTGCCAAATCCTCATTACAAAAATATTAATTTTTGTTAAAAGGTTCCCAAAACACTCAAATCTGCAGCTGCCGAATTCTATTTTACGAGTCGAGTCGAATTCTCTGTTATGATGACACTCGATATCGAATACGATAGCTCCGGACGTACCGTGTAATACGTATCAAAAAATCGAAAAATAGAATCGCTATTTTGACAATTCGATATGAATTTCTATTCGACTCGTAAAATAAAATCCGGCAGCAGATTTTGCAAACTCACGCTTCCCGTATCATGCAATCTTTGTAAAACGGGCACAATGTTCTTTCATTAGTTGAGTGCTCTTCGAAAATCTTTCCCTGTAAATTCTGGCGGCTAAATTGGCATTTTGCAACGATTCTGCCTAAACAAGTATCTGCATATTCGACGTTTGTAAACATTTTATTTTCAAAAAAGAATGAATAACGCGCGTTTCCAATGCTTCAACTAACTGACATAAGACAAATCAAGTACCTATGTGTGTTGTGCTTTGTTGCCAGATGTTCAGATACCGATTTACCAGTGAAATTTTTATGTTGTTTTTTCAATGACCGCGGTTATCTCGGGCCGTTCGATCGGATCTAATGCATCCGATAGAAACTCCATCCACAACAGCAAGATAAACGATGTCGCCTGATTTTGTATCGGATGGAAGTCTTTAAATCAATCCTGTTTTTCAATCGGATCGGACTTTTTAATCCGGATCGAAATCCTTCTTTTTCACGACAGAAACGCGATTCAAAGGAAACTTTATCAGCTGACTTGAAAAATGGCAAACTCGTCTAACTTCACTTATTGTTTAAGTTATTGGTTTGTTTTGTTATGAAGTCAAGTTTTGAAAATATAAGTTCGTTTCCTTCAAATGGATCTACTTTCTTTGTAAAAATCAGAAACTGCTTTCCCCTTTTCCCACTCATGGGAGTTTGCCACAAATTTATTAAAAAATAAGATCTTTTTGCTATGTTTAATTCGGTCGGTCTCTTTCTATTTGACTCCGCTAGAAAAAAAAATGGCTATCGATCCGATAATTAATTTTATGAGAGAAACGGAGATTCACTGGATGGCATCAAGTCGATCGGATCCGGATTTTACGAGATAAACGTACTCTATGTTTTATTATTGTTGTTGACTAAAAATGCATAATTACTTAATAATTGAATGAACTAAATTTTTTAACATCTCATAATGATTAAAATTTTCTGTATCTTTGAAGTATTCATCAAAAAATGTCAAAACTTCAAAGGCCTTCTTCTTAAAAATGGTTAAGCTTGGACCCCATGTAGTATAAACTTTTTTTGTTCAAAATGGGCCATATTTTCACATGTTAAAATTTTTGTAATTTTTTCGGCAACCGTTCGGAAAGTACATAGTTTCTGGACGCTTCTCCTTCAGGAAAGCACCTCTTAGGACGGAAAGTAATGAAACCAGTAAATAATCCTTTGTCGCCCCAAAAAATCAGACAGGCAGACTGATATAGCTGGAAAACTATTTTTGCAGCCTTAAGTTTGATCAAGAATGTACTAGCGGTTCATTCACTTTTGGGCGGGATACTCGTGGGAAAATTGATCACCGATTGTACCTCGAAAACCTCAGCCATTCTTATCATGTCAATATTTTTTAGGAGGTAACTTGTGAAGTTTAGATATTCTTGCCATCTGAAAGCCTAGGAAAATTTTCAAGGTTCCAAGCTGAAAAAAAAAATGGTGTCATGAAACAAGTGTTCCTGCAATCTAGTATTCATTTATCCAGTGAAACACTTTCTAAAAATACCAGGCAATCAAAGAATAATTTTTTTTACTTCATATGGAATTTGCTGCTACAGAAAAAATTATAGAATCGGAGAATGCAGCTATCGAAATCTTTAATTATAGGTATTGTACCTACTTAAATGCCGTCCTTATTACATCATCTGATAGGTATACAGCCACGATTTAGCCATTCCTTTTCTCTCATGTTTGGTCAAGGGTCATGACCTAATCATAATTGAACCAGTCTCCTAACTTATTATCTATGATAATGCGTTTTTCTACATAAAATATTACAGCTATGGCTGACCTAAGAAAAAGATTTCTGCGACAAGAAACGAGATGTTTTTTTTTTTAAATCTTTAGTTCCATAATAACATAAATTTAAGAAATTTGAGGCATGCTCGTGTCATATTTTGACAAATTGCAGTCCAATTTCGCTAGGGGCAGTATGAGAGCCGCGATAGGATGAGAAAATTGCTGGCGTCATAATGTGCAGGTATTGAAAATTAAAATACTTTCCATCAAATAATAAAAAAGTTGACCAGTATTTTAGCTGATAGAAAAATTGGATATGAGGATATGATCCATGTGAGAAAATATCTAAAAATACACTTCTATATTTTTTATGTACTGAGCAAGTTTATCCTGATCGTCATCAAAACCCTTCAGCTACGACCTCCATGACACCAATATAGGACGGATACCTATATCGTAGCCACATTGTAAAATAATTGTTTATTTTGCATTATTTTATAATATAGCTAGCGCTTTTAGCCATTCTGTAAACTTGCCGATCAAGTAGGTTTCTACAAGAATATATAGCTGTTGTTCTGCATTTCGGTGGAATGCGCGAACAAAAAACAGGAGATAAAAGCACTATTTAAACTAAACGAAATTTCCTTCAATTTGATACCCCACCAGGTAGGAATCGGCCCTGCTCACCTCAAATTCATGACTCACCTGCATAAATTAGAATTATCCATCTTCAGGAAAATAGAAATACAAAGATAACTAAACAAACATACACTGGAAATACTTCTTAACTAGTTCAAAAAATGCAACCGTGGAAGATACTTGTTCATTGTCGGCAAAAATATAACCTCACTTTTATTTTATATTGTGGTTGATAGTGATATTCGGCGAAATGCAAAACAACAAAAAAAAAATTTCTTTTGAGGATATGGCTTGTACTTGAACGGCCAGTTTATAAAATAACTAAAAGTATCAGCCATATTACAAAACAATGTCAAATAACTGATTATGTTATAATGTGGACGCATTTTATAAAGTGGCTAGCCATTTTATGGAATGGCGGAATTCACAACATGGCTGCGTCATAATATACCCATTCTGATTACGAATTCTTATTGCCTACTTAGTGCGGCTAGATCAATCGTTTGTCCAATCCCTGTTAGTTAATAAAAACCTTAGATTGTACCACACACAAGCAATATCATATTGACATTGACACAATCTAAGGTTTTTGCTCTAGCAATTGTAACTGATATTGATATATTTATTGGACACCATAAATAAACATAGGTACCTACTGTTGACTAAGATTATAAGAGTTGTGCGAATTTTTCACAACTTCATTAAAATTTGTAACTTGAAAATCATTAGGTATTTATTCCCTTTCAAACACCGTTTTTTACATCCATTAAATAAATTGATGTCCCGGAAAATTCGTATCATTTCCCTTCAAGTAGAAAATAAAAAATAAATTATACTAAAATATATTTAATTTTCATGTATGTACAAAAACAAAAAAATAACGTGAATTTTAAAACATAGAAATGAAGAAAATAATTGGCACCTTTTTGGAAAGAATATCAACGAGTTGAAGAGTAGGGAGAAAAAGCAACAGATAGTATTTCTACGAGCAAAATTTGGATCGTAGGTAGATGCAAATAAAGATAAAAAACGTGCAAAATAGAGAGAGTGATAGTAAAGACATATTAAGTGCAAGAAATTCTAGGAAAAAAAGTCGTGAAAATTTTGAACAAATTGAGAATATTAGGAAAATGGTTACAAGTATTTAAATGTAAGTACATTAAAAATTGCAGAACCTGCTTGTCTTCTATAAAAATATATTTTGTATATATTTAAAATAAAATTGTAAAGCGAAGCAAAGAAAGCGTTAGAAAAGGCTAAGGAAGTTAATAGATTTTGGAGTCAAAAAGTTGACCGTCACACTACTAATGACTAATGACTCAAGTTAATCAGATTTATCATTTAGTTTTTCCCAACTTGGTCGATTTGTCCTTGGAGGTTGTTGACTACTTCAGGGGGAAATTGATCGCCCAAAATGTCGGCAAGGCTGATTTTTTGGTTGCCGGGTATACTTTCGTAAGCAGCGAGTTCAATAGCCTCTTGGACCTAAAAATAAAACAAACAAAAGATTTAGAAAATCCTGTGATAATGATTATATACTTGTTATGTATATTTATTAGTTTATATTGTTCGACGGTTGAATCTTATTAGTTTCCTTGCAACTGAATGTTATCTTCTGTTTAGTTAATTACTATCATATATGTCACTTGAAAAACATCGAAAAAAATGCAGGACAAATAACCGAAACTCAACATGTCGCAAAAATTATATCTGGAAGAAAAACCCGACGGGTATATTATTTTTGGATAATATACAGGGTGATTCAAAAGTAAGCGGCATCCTTTCGGGGGCGTATTCCTTGCATAAAAATAAGACAAAAAGTTCCTATTAACATGGGTCCGGAAATGCTTCCTAAGGCAGCTACGCCCCTTCGAATAGGACACCTGAAAGACGTATTTTTCTCTATAACTTTGAAACCCTTCACAAATGGATTTTGAAAATTGGTGCATTTTGTAAACATTTGATGGCAATTAAGATACTAAATTGAAAGTTCAAACATTTTAATCAGTGGCGTCACATGCTGGGGAGGGTGAGGGTTAAAACATCCCTATTTTTTTTACTCGTCAGGTTTTTGCGATTCTGATTGAAAATTCAGAAAGTTTAGAGTTTTTTACACAGAAAAGGTACTCTTGGTTCAATTCGATACAGCGTACCGTTTACGAGAAAATTGACGTTGAAAATTTTTTGATATGCGTATGTTTCGCAAAAACTGACGAGTAAAGAAAAATAGGGATGTTTTCACTCTCCCCAGTATGTGACACTGATTAAGATTTTTTAATTTTCAATTTAGTATCTTAATTGCCATCAAATGTTTATAAAATACACCAATTTTCAAACTCCATTTGTGAAGGGTTTCAAAGTTATACAGAAAAACACGTCTTTCAGGTGTCCTATACGAAGGGGCGTAGCTGCCTTAGGAAGCATTTCCGGACCCATGTTAATAGGAACTTTTTGTCTTGTTTTTATGCAAGGAATACGCACCCGAAAGGATGCCGCTTACTTTTGAATCACCCTGTATATAGGTATATAAGTTATGGATGCTATGTTGCAGAATAATCCATGACTACAGAATAGGAAAGAAATTCTTCAAAAAAGCCAGTTAGCGTATTTCTTGTAGAAATCAACCGACCACTAAAGAATTTTAGCTTGCACGTCAAATAGGCTAAGAAATTTTAGAAGTTAACGAAAATACAAAAAATAAAAAATAATATTTGTAAAATAACGCTATAATAGCAAATATAACGATTCGAATTTAGATAGGAATATAAGGAGTTAAAAGTCGCACAAACCGATTTAAAGATTTCAATAAAGTTCCAGTCTATGTCTAGAATGCAGAAATGGCTGGGACCCATGAAAAATATGGAAGACGTGATAGGACATGCATTCACCGAAGGCTAAGAAGTGATTAAAGTTTAAAGCGGAGATGAAACACGTTTCAGGAAGATAGAGAGCAGATAATACAGTCCATGAGTATGTTGATTATAAGAAAATATGGAAAAAAAAATTACGCCAAAACCAAAATCAAACCTAGCATTCATTTGTGGAAGCAAGAAAGAGGATTGAAGTACTAGTGGAAATAATAAAACTGTACCACCACCACAAACTATTTTAATTTAAAAATCTGGTAATCCATTAGTAAAGGCAAAGCTTTGACCCAGGGTTGAATGAACCCACCGGGATACCGGGAAATTCCCGGTGGGCCGATCTTTAGAAAAACAGGATCTTTATCAAGATACTTTCAAACCAAAGTCTAAGATCAAACGGACGGCCTCAATTCAATATTATGAAAGCATAAAGAATATGATGGTCAATTGAACTTAAAGTCTGTTTTTTTTCTAAAGATAATTCCCCAAGTCAAAAATTTAGTAACTATGTTGGCAACACAAGCCTTTTCTACATAAAAAATTTGAAAGCATTGACAATTTTACATTGTATTGCCAACATAATTTCATTTTGACTTTTATCTTTAAAAAAAAAAACACACTTTATGACGCACTCAGGAACAAGGCAACCTGAAAGAAGTATGAAGTGCTAAAAATATTTTACAATTGGGCAAATACAGGTTTGGAAGCAAATTAAAATGATGTAATAATAATTCAGGACTCATTATCCATGTTTGGATCCAAACAATTTTTCGGAACTAGTGCTAGACTATGTTTTGAATACACTTGGTATTGGTAAATTACTAGAATATGATGACAGGGCTGTTTTGCTGGAAGAATTAAAGGATTTTGGATGAGGATAGGCCTGACTCGAAAAGAACGGAGTTGTATGCCCGAATCCAACGATGGAGATGAAAATGATGTAAATGACACAGGGTTGGATGCAGGGAATGAATTAGAACTTTTTAAAAAAAGTGTTCATCACATTCACGTTGCAAACAATGTTTGGTTTGCTGTTTTATTGTTTTGTATAAATACAAACAAAAAGGCATATGAACTTTAATCAAGACATCGTAGGATTTTTGACTCTCAAGAAGATTCTCATGGAAATGTTTAACTTAGGCCCCTATTAAAGAAAATATTAACACATTGATTGTTTGAAATAAATAAACCAAAGATGTAATATGAAAGTTATTTATTAATTTTTATTCTGCGTTTTCATTTAGCATTTATTATTTCATCACGATTGTTATTAGATTACATCTAAATGTGGGGATGTGCCCCATATATCCTCTAGACTAAAATTTCCCGGACCACTTCCAGAAGTTCGTCCAACCCTGCTTTGACCTATCTGTACGCCTCAGTTACATGCCAATCCTCTAAGACAAATATTTTTTTTTGTACGAACTACTTTATTGATGATCGAAGGTTTCCACATAATATCAATTCCGGATTCTGTGAAGGCAGCGTCCTCGAGACACATCTACTCTACACAGTTGATTTGCCAATAAGCAATAAATCTTAGGTAGCAGCTTTTGCAAGTATTACTCCAGTTGTTTCAGATAGAAGTAGCAAAAATGGCTTAAGAAATCGGGAATTCAGGCCAAAGTGCAGGAGGTTCAGCTACATTAAGCAATGAGATGCTGCCTCAAAGTGGGGATGTCGAATATCTGAGAAAGCATTTATTAGAGATGTATCCTGGGTATGAAAGGTAACGAGAAATGTAATGCTGGATCAATACGATTCTAGTGGACTTATGGCATTCAACTGCATTTACCTCGAACATAAAAATACTGGAAATATTCCAATATAAAATATTGAAGAACTACTGAGAATGCTTAGTTGTTCATGAGAAACCATTGAGGTCAAATATAGAACTCGACTAATTACTCAATTAATAATAGGCCTGCTATTAATTTCATAATACATTCAAACGCCATATCCCCTGATTTAATTAACCGGTTTTAGCATAGGTAAGTGTTGTGTTACCCATAGGCAAAAATAATTAATGTCTTTACTGTATTAATGGTGGTAATATAGGAAATAACCAATGGGTTGTGTTTATGCATGCATTGCTAATTGCAGTATTTATTACAGATGAGGCAATGCGAATGTTCTGCTGAATGTTTTAGCGTTCCATATGTTTATTACGCTTCATTGGTATTTTTTCTGGCAAATAATTTTCAAATAATTATATAAAATATATCATTCAGTTGCATAGTGCGAGGGATAGAAAATAGCTATCCCAGAACAATTATTTGATGTTTTTTTTTTAGCTGAAAAATAGCTCTAGTGCAGTTCGAACCACTTTGGAAAAAGTTTTAAATGACTGTTCACGATGAAAATTGCGTTATCAAATGATAAATTCAATACGTAATTAGTTTAATATTGTGCTTGCTACTCCTATGTGCATACATGTTTTTTTTTCTTAACATAATATTTTTCATCAAAAGTCTATGACAATAATACCAAATCATATTGTTTCCATCACAAATGATCAGAATAATGTTCTATTTTAGATTTGTATAACTCAGGCAGCAATAATAATGGTCTCTTCTATTATAACAATCGATTTCCGGGTTTACTTTTTCAAGCACTTTTTAGGTACCTCAAAATTTCAAAACCATATAAATAATAGCGAAAATTAACAAGTGGTTGGTCATCATTTCCCAGGAACTGCCGCGAGACTCAAATATTGGATATCGCAAGGAAATCACATCGAAATACCTATTAGCTTGAAAATGTGAATTTATGGCCCTTACAGATTAAAAGAGAAAATAAATAATTACAGTCCAATGATATTGAGAATCCTCGGAAGTATGATTCGTTAATTGAATACTAACGAGAAGAATTATATAGTTATTGTACTTTAAAAGCTTAAAAAAGTCCCATATACATTATGTGGGAAGCAACTATAGGCAACAATCAATACAACTAACCTTGAAAAGAAAGAATACTACAAAAATTGTCTGTAAATAATATGTCTGCGGCGATTATAAGCAACTGCTTGCAGCCGTCGGTGAAATTGTCCTATTGCACTTGTAATTAAGTCTTATGAAAATTATGTGCAACACTCCTCAATCCGATCTTTACGGTAATGAATTGTTTCAAAGGTGTGATTGTAATATTTCATGTTTTTTGACAGTCTCCATACCCAATAGTCGACCGGATTGAGGTCGAGACTGCACAACATACTGCACATACTGTTTTTCGAGATATATGAATTTTTGTTTGAAAATGTCTGTTTTAACACGGCACCGAAAATGGATGAAATCGGTCATTAAATAAAATAAATGGCTACAAAGATAGGTACCTATAAAAAGAGTACCTATGTGAAACTTTAATTTGCCCCACAGGAAGAAATAACATGTCTCGATTCTTTTCTACAGTTTCGCTTTGGCATCTGTATTTCTGGTAGTTTAGTTATTTGATTAAAACAGATTTCTTTTGCGATGACGTTGAATGCATTAAAAGTTGCAATAAATGAAGTCGGTGCAAAAAATAAAAAGTTATTAGCGATGAAAAAGTGTGGAACTTTAATTTGACTCACAGTGTAAGTATATTTACCCTAATACCTCCATCGATGACAGTTTACACTGAAAATAGAAATGTATAACGACGTTTGGGTGTCAAAAACTAACAAGGATATGAATGATGTGCAAAAAATGCCTTTTATCGAAATAGTCAGAAATATACTACTCACTAAAATTAATCCGCCTGGATGTGATAGAAAGTACCTACCAATGCGTACCAAATTATATTCTTTAATGTTTAAGGAAACGAAAGTTGAAGGTTGAAGCCGTGGCTCATAAGGTTTATTTCAAAACATTGAAGGCGAACTGTATAGTGTACGATCACGTACAGTTGTGGCCATTGGAATTGGCACAAACTTTTTGAACGCGCTCTGTATAAAGACAAAACTATAACCAACAAAAGTAGTCAGTGGCGTTTACAATAATAATATAATGATTATAAAAGATAATTCTCCCAATCTGAAAAAAAAATTCTAGCTTTCCACTGACTTATCACTTTGACAGGATTTTGGCATTCCCGACTTGTTAAAAAAAAAAATGATGCGATACGAGGTGCGTTCAAAAAGTTTTGTGCCAATTCCGATTGCCACAACTGTACATAGGTACTGAATAATTGCTTCGTGTTCTGACCTAGAGCAGAACGAGGTATTTTACGATCCTTTTTGCGTGTCCTAATCAAACGCGTAATCATTTTTTGTAAGATCATTCACCAAATATTTTTACTTACTTTCTGAATTTCGGCATCTTTGGGAATCAAATATGTGTCTTGTGCCTGCCTGATGGCTTCATTTGTGTATGCTCCCCCTTCTTTTTGTGGGTACGCTGATACTACAGCCAAGACTGCAAGGGAAATAATTGCCACCTTCATTTTACCTAAAGTAGAAAAAAAAAATTAATGGGTAAGAAAAAAATTAACAGAAAATTTAAAAAAAAAATCGACAAAATACACTTGCATTGCCACATTTGTTTACCTTCCTATGGTGGTATGAAATCTTTATTATGTCGTATTGTACTTTCATCAGCAATTATGAACTTTGTTACTTGAGTCAAAAGTTTTTTTCAAGTTTGAAAAATCATCTTATTTAGCCCTGCCTTCAAGATTTATAAAAATTCACTGATAGGATAAAAATTACATTATGAAAACCTTAAAAAAATCGTTTATCCAACTCTTTAGCAAATATCATCACTGTTGTTGGTGTTTCCTACATACAAAACATTTGGTTTTGTTTCAATGTATTCCAATTTTTTCAAATAAAAAGAAAGTCATATTCAAGTTTGGACAAATTTGATACTTCACCCTAACAACTGTCAGTTAATCTGATTTCTTGTTCTGACATAAAAATTTGTTTAGTTGTTGTGGTATTATTCGCGATTGGCGCCAATAAAAAAAAATAAAAAATACATAAATGGAAAGCAAAAATGGAAATCATATATTATTTGCCTACATTTTGGAATAAAGTGTCCATTCCTAGCAGCTTTTTACACAATCGTAGCTTGTATAATTCAAAATATTCTTAAAGCCACTGTTCATTAGGTTTCGTAATTATTATAACATTTTTCCTCAAAAAATTGTGTTTCTAGGTTAATAAAACCCATTATTAAATTTACCACTATCATTAACCAGTTAATTATAGGAAGTTAAAGAAAGCAAGAAGCTGCATTTTATCTTTTCCTTTTCAAATGATAATTTTTAAATGTTTGTTACAATTAACGAATTATGAAGTTTTTTTTGAGGTGATCTTAAACACAAAAAAAGTGATATGTAGATAAACATTTAGTATCAACAAACCAAACAATAATTATAATTGAGAAAAGACACTGCGCAAATTTCTAAGAAACTATTCACACAGGTGTGTAATTTTTTTTTCGCGTAAACTTAAATATAACTTCCATTGCTGGGCTCACTAAAAAGTTGTTTCACTTTCACTTCCACTATCACTGAAATGAATCTGGCTTACCTTAGTAAAAAATGATGCGTGATGCTTAACGTACGGTATATCGAATTTCTGCGGTACCTTCTCGTTTCGCTAATCTCTTATATAAGCGTGGTACCATCTCTACACGACTTTCCCCCAGCCTTATTGTTATTGCTCGTCTGATGTGACCTGGATGAACGAGCGTAGATTTTTTTTCGGTCAGCTTAGGTTTTTGAATATCTATGTATTAATTTTATTTTAAATAAACATATTTTGATATGTATGCATACATCAATGTTGCAAAAAGATCAAATATTTCCCAACCAAACAGCGGGTCATTTAATGGGTGCTTCCAACTTTTAGGACAAGAAGCATTACTTGTCAAATTGGTAATTTATTAAAAATTCACCGTTCTTTGTAGGGATATTCCCAGTTGCGTCCTGAAGAAAACTAAGTTGATATCAAACGGATAAAAATAGGTCACATACCATCTAATTTCAATTATTATGCTACCTACTCTTATATCTTTTCAGAATATAGGTATCTATACTAAAGTTATCTAAAACATGTTAAGTATTGATAAAAAAGGTGTTCTATTTTGAAAAGAGTTTAATTTATCATAATTCTCAGAATATTATTTGAGCTTGTAGTGAAAATCGTTTATGAATGAATACAGCCTCTTTACGAGTTATATACAGGGCGACTCAGAGTAAATTTCCCTTTTTAATAGCGCCCTGTACATCCAACTTAATACTTGTGGGGGGGGATAGCGCTGGTAATTTGCGGCGAATGCGTGCGGATTTTCAGTAAAAATGGAATTGTGGTCGAACGAGCAACGCGCCTTTATGGTCGAGGCGTTTTTCAAATCGAACGATTCCTATGAGGAACTGTAATCTCGAAAAATGGGGACATCGTTTTTTCACCAAGATCACCAGATTTTATGCCCCTAGACTTTTTTTTGTAGGGATATTTGGAGAGTATCGTCTACCTACGCCGATCCCCCAGCCACTATGGTACAGTTAAAACGCATCATTCGAGAGGCCATTTCTAACATTCCTATTGAAATGTGTCAGCGAGTCTTCCAACATTTAAGAGCATCATTGGAGGAGTGCTACGCGAGGGATGGTTGACATTTGGATAACATTGTGTTTAAATAATAAAATCCGCATTTCTGTACTCCCAAAATTTATTATTTAAATTGCCCCAACACGTTTTATTGTGTTTCTATAACATGTTAAAAAGGGAAATTTACTCTGAGTCACCCTTATTTATCAGAAACACATCTTCTGCCCTGTGCTCCTTGCTGAAGAGTACCTGATACTCTGAAAAAATTTGATTTGATTTTAAAGTCTTCTTTAGAATCTATTACAAATTGCACTTTAAATGACAATGCTTGGGCGCTTTCTAGTTTACCAGTGAACTTGGGGGGCTTAGGCATTCGAGATACTTCTTCATTGTGTTTTTTTGGGGTCTTTGACCAATGTTTCTCCTGGATATGAGGTAATATCCTTTCAATTTAAATTTTTTCTTCTACAGATTTGGTAAGGAATGAAGCAATTAATCAATTCAAAAAAATCACAAATATTTTGGACTGGACTAAATTTAAATGTCAAAAAGATTTTGATTTGGATTTTGTAAATTTTCAATTGCTAAAATCATTTCAAATTCTAATAGTTGTGTTGAAAAAGCTAGGATTATTGCTCTACAGGAAGAGGAAAGTGGTGCTTGGCTGAATGCTTCACCCTCTTCGAATCTAGGTGATTTGATAGATGACGCGTCATTTAGAATATCAGTTGCTCTTCGCGTTGGTCAACCTGTGTGCATGCCACACATCTGCAATTGCAACAACCAAGTTGATAAATTTGAGCTTCATGCCGTGTGTTGCAAAAAAAGTGCAGGTTGAGTGACCCGTCACAGGTTGATCCATGATATAATTAAGCGCTCGTTGGCATCAGCAGATATTCCTTCCATACTAGAGCCACCTGGTATATGTAGAAGTGATGGGAAACGCGTGGATGGAATGTCTTTGTTGCCTTGGAAGAATGGTAGAGCATTACTTTGGGATGCCACGTGCCGAAATACTTTGTGTCAAAGTTACTTATCAAAGACATCGATTGAAGCTGGCGAAGCAGCAAGAATTTGGGAAAAGCAAAAAATGCTGCAATATAAAGAACTGCAGGACCGAGGTTTTCTTTTTGTTTCTTTTGCTGTTGAAACTTTCGGACCTTGTTGTAATGGAGCTAAAAGATTAATTAAACAAATTTGCCAGAAAATTAATCATCTCAAGGCATTTAGCTTTATTACCCAAAGTATCAATCTACAAGTACAAAGGGGCAATGCAACATGAGTATTTGGGACCCTTCCGGTAGGATCTTGTTTGGAGGATTTTTTTTATTTTTGATGTTATATATGGTTATACTTAGCCTATTTATTATTCATTACAACAACAATTTGGCTACCGGCCTGCTGGCTAGTATGATTTGGTATAATTTATGTCATGTCAAAAATTTACTTTATTTTTGGGTGCAAAAGATAATAGCATAAGCTTCGGTTTCATACAGTGATTTGCTTAACTCGTATGGCCTTAAATTCTGGCCATACGCTTCAACAAAACGATGTCTAATTAATAGAACAAACTGAAGAGTTTTAACTGGGTACCTACTCAACATTTCTATTGAAACATCCGGTTCTTTCACATTGTATCTACTCATTTAGAAAGGTAACATTTGTTTTGAGAAAAAGCCACAATTTCGTTCTCCTGCTCTATTGCATGGTAGGTACACTGAGAATGATTGCAATTCGCACACAGGGCACACACTATATAAACAACCCCCGTAATGTGTCAAAATTTTACTTCTTTGACACACATGTAATGTCAAAATCGTGTGAGATTGATAAATCAGTGGCGAACATAATAGTTTCATTAAACTGTTGAAGGAAAACAATATTTGTACACCACTGCACTAAATAGATTTATTGGTTAGAATTTTGACTTAATACGAGAGATGTTAAAAGAGTATGGTATGTACCAATTGCAATGATTCCCACTGTATTTATAGATAATATCATATTTTTTCTCGGTAACTTGTAAGTCGATTGTAGCTGTTATTTTTTGATTTTCAACTACCGATTTCTTTTTAGTAGGTACACATCATTTTAAATTAAATCGGCAAATATTCTGGTCAAAATGTGGTAAAGTTATGATGGGCCATAAGAAGTACCAGAGAACCATGGGCGGATATAAAAGCTTTTCAAATGAAGCTTTTGAAAAAACCGTAATTTCCCAAGTAAGATTTTTCTGTCTTGGAACGATATCTACATCGTTTTCAACATTAGAATGGATCTTTAGTTGAAATATTCAAAGCAACTGTAGCAATTAAGCTACTTTGTCATTTTATTATTATTTTCAGCATGTAAATTTATTGTATTTTAGGTGTTTTTAATTGTAATCACCGATGTTGCTGTATATATTAGTTATTGTAATGCATTTAGAGCAAGTATACTTATTTTCATTAAAATTTAGGTTTAGATTGCAATTAGGAGTCAACCTGATTTTTATGTAAGTACTACTTCCATTCAGGGGGCACCAGACTATCTCTATTTAATGATTTTCGCCCAGCTCTAAATCTTTTCGAATAGTACCAATCCTTCCGGTTTGTAGAGCCACCTTTTTCGGCTAGCTTCATCCTGCAATTATGTGAATTGCGCAAGGCCTTGCTTTAGGACGAGCCACTCTTCCTTGGCAGCTTGGTTAAGCGAGTCGACGTCAGTGACGACAGCGAGCCCTTTTGATTTTTGGCGATCGTGCGAAGTTTTTAAAAAGTCTCTTGAAGGGGTGAATCCTTCAAATTTCTCTCTGTGGTTCGGAGTGCCATTTATGGCTGATTAATTAAATAGTTTATTCGTCCACTCGGCTATTTTTTTGTGATTTTGTTGGAACACGCCAGGTATGTGACAAATCTTATTTTATCTTGAACATCCCTTAAGTTTATATCTATCTTTATGGTGATGCCAGTGCCTGTATTGTGTACCAAATCATGGTATAGGAGCCCCTTGTTCAGGGTGAGTCATGTACTTTTGTGTCTTATTATAAACTTAATCAGTAGACAAGTTTTTGTCCATTTCTTTAAAAAAAAAAGAAAGATCATCAGTAATTTGCTTTTATAATAGGGTCCCTACATCCAGGCCTAGTATTGGTCCATTCAATAAAGACGGCATGCTTCCCTAAACTTCCTGTGTCCCTACTTGTGAGGTCATTTTCATGGTCCCTGATGGATAGTGCCTATCGTCCTTGATGACACCTCGACTTCGAAGTAGTGACCACAGGTTTCTTTACGTTTTAATTTTACCTTTTATTTTATATTTTTTATTGAGCATTACCCAATTGGAATGTCTCATTTCCATGTTCAGTTCGCTGTTCGGCGGAGTATGTGAATTTTCAGAGCAGAAGACTCAACGAAGTCGTTTTATACTTTTTATTGAGCATTACCTTAATTAAATGACTCATTTATATCTTGAGTTCGCTGTTCGGTTGAGCATATGAATTTTCAGAGCATATAGACCCAACGAGGTCATTTAATATTGTATATTTTTTATTGAGCATTGCCTAATAAATGGAATGACTCATTTCTATGTTCAGTTCGCTGTCCGGTTGAGCATATGAGTTTTAAGGGCAGATAGACCAGTAGAAAGGTCCTAATTTAAATAAAATGATCGATCATTATTATTATTTTACACAATAATAATTAGTTAAGTATAGTAATGGGTTGGAATCAAGTTATTCTTACATTTATGATTCTCATTAAATTTACATAATAGATTTTGTAATTTTTCATTGAACTTTTATTAAACATAATTAAGTGGAGAGCGTTGCTGTATTATTTCTTTTTATACTTAACATTCAGATTTAATTTGAGGTCTATTTCGAGGTTTGAGAACTTATAAATAAAAACTTCGTGGCGCCCTCAGTAAACACTCCTTAAACACGACCAGAAATGCTTTCCGATGAACAGCTGCCGTCAGCAATAACATCTTTTTAATCCAAAGTAATAAAAAACGGTACACAACCTTTGGACATCACAGCCCTATGACCTAATTTGGCTAGGTCATCTATGAAATGGTGAGCAACTT